CAGGTGCAGCCCGGCCGCGCGCGCACGGTCCAGGGCGAGCTCAACGCGGCGCTGCGCACGCGCTTCGGCGGCGCGGATATTCCGACGCTCGGCGCGTCGCGCACGGACGCGGGCGTCCACGCGCGCGGCCAGTGCGCCCACGCGGACCTGCCGGTCGCGCCGCTCGGCGGCGCGCCGCTCGAGCTGTTGGAGCACCAGATCAACCGGCTGCTGCCCGACGACGCGCGCGTGCACGACCTGCGCCCGGCGCCGGCGCCCAAGCCCTGGCAGGCGCGGGAGGGCCTGCCCTGGCACGCCATCGCCAACGCCGCGGGCAAGCGCTACGCGTACCGGCTGACGGCGCGGAGAGGCAGCGCGGACCCGCTGGGCCGCCTGTACCGGGGCCACGTCGCCTACCGCGCCGTCGACTTCGGCCGCCTCGACGACGCGCTCGCGTGCTTCGTGGGCGAGCACGACTTCGCGGCCTTCGCGAACAACGCGCCGGGCGTCGACCCGTCGGGCGCCGCGCGGTCGACGACGCGCTCCATCCGGTCGGCGACGCTTTTGGACGAGGGCGGCGGCGACGCGACGCTGACCTTCGAGCTCGACGGCGCGCTCTACAAGATGGTGCGCAACGTCGTCGGCGCCGCCGTCGCCGTCGCCGACGGCGCGCTGCCCCGGGACGCGATCCCGGCGCTCCTCGCGCCCGGCGCGCGCCGCGCGGACAACCCGGCCAAGGCCGCGCCCGCCTGCGGCCTCTGCCTCGAGGAGGTGTACTACGACGACTACTAGGGGTTCTTTTGGTTGTCTCGGGGTTGGTGCGGCGGGTTGCTGTCGCTGTCGAAACGCTGCCACGTTCCATCTGAAAACAGGGTCCCTATCTTCAAATCAGGCTCTCCCTCCAGCAAGGGCTCGACGCCGGGCCACAGCGCCCGCGCAGTAGCCCGCAGCCTTTCAACAAAGAAGGTCTCTTCCTCACGTCCGCCGTCCCAGTTCACGCCAATTGGGGCAAAACCTGGGTCGGGCCCGGGGCCACACCCCCTAATCAGCGGCGCCTCGACGGATCCTGAAGTCAGGTACAGGATTTTGGTTTTCCCCGGATAGTTCGCGTTGGCGATGTTGAGCTTCTTTGCATCCATGTCGACGAGGAGTTCCAGCGTCGCGCCGAGCCCGCGGGCCACCGCGTCGCACCCCCGGGCCCCGGGCACTGCGGCACGACGCCAGGATGAAGAGCAGTGACGCCGCTACCCATGCATAGACGCAGAACTATGCTAGAGAGCCGCCACCGAGCGAGCCGTCCTGGCGTAGTGCTCTCGCACTCTTCGACGCGCTCGGGCCCGACCGCCTGCGTCGCGCGCTCGCGCTTTTCGAGCCCGACTCCGAGTCGGACGCGAAGGACTCCGGAACCTACTTCGTCCGACAAGCGCGTTCGTGCTCCTCGCGTCGCTCGGCACGTTCGTCATGCGCCGCTGCGCGTCCTGGCAATCCCGCGAGTTCGACGTGCCGCGCGCGTCCGCGGCTGAAGACGTCGGAGGCGCGGCGCGCGGTCGCCGCGGCCGTCGCGTTCACCCCCGGCCTCAGCTCCCAAAGCAGGCGCGGCGCGATTTCCTCTCGATCGCGAGAGCGCCGAGCGCCTGTGGCAGCGTTTCAAGCGCAATGGGCGTGCTCGAGGAGGAGCACGCGGGCTTCCAGTCGACGCTCGCGGACCTGCGCCGGCTCTTCACGAAGCGCCGCGCCGCCGCCGAGGGCCTGGACGCCGCCGTGCGCGGCCGCGAGGCGAGCGACGCCGAGGCCGTCCGCGAGGGCGCGCGCGTCATCGAGCTCGAGGCGCGCGTCGAGGCGCTGGAGGCCGCCGTCGCGTCGGCCCAGGAGCGCGGCGCCGGCGCGATGTCCCGCGCCGAGGCCGCCGAGGCCGAGCTCGCGGGGATCACGGCCGCGGCGACCGCGGCCGCCGCGACGGCGACCGCGGGCGCCGAGGCCGCGGCGACGGGCGAGCGCCTCAAGAAGGAGAACGAGCGGCTCCGGGGCTTCCTGCGCAAGCTCAAGGAGGCGGCGGCGGCGGCGACGCAGGAGAAGGCGGCCCTCGCGCGCGCGCGCGACGA